GGAAGGACGGAGGTCAGATAGAAGGCTGAAGGGAAGGACGGAGGTCAGATAGAAGGCTGAAGGGAAGGACGGAGGTCAGATAGAAGGCTGAAGGGAAGGACGGAGGTCAGATAGAAGGCTGAAGGGAAGGACGGAGGTCAGATAGAAGGCTGAAGGGAAGGACGGAGGTCAGATAGAAGGCTGAAGGGAAGGACGGAGGTCAGATAGAAGGCTGAAGGGAAGGACGGAGGTCAGATAGAAGGCTGAAGGGAAGGACGGAGGTCAGATAGAAGGCTGAAGGGAAGGACGGAGGTCAGATAGAAGGCTGAAGGGAAGGACGGAGGTCAGATAGAAGGCTGAAGGGAAGGACGGAGGTCAGATAGAAGGCTGAAGGGAAGGACGGAGGTCAGATAGAAGGCTGAAGGGAAGGACGGAGGTCAGATAGAAGGCTGAAGGGAAGGACGGAGGTCAGATAGAAGGCTGAAGGGAAGGACGGAGGTCAGATAGAAGGCTGAAGGGAAGGACGGAGGTCAGATAGAAGGCTGAAGGGAAGGACGGAGGTCAGATAGAAGGCTGAAGGGAAGGACGGAGGTCAGATAGAAGGCTGAAGGGAAGGACGGAGGTCAGATAGAAGGCTGAAGGGAAGGACGGAGGTCAGATAGAAGGCTGAAGGGAAGGACGGAGGTCAGATAGAAGGCTGAAGGGAAGGACGGAGGTCAGATAGAAGGCTGAAGGGAAGGACGGAGGTCAGATAGAAGGCTGAAGGGAAGGACGGAGGTCAGATAGAAGACAGAAGGGGAGGACGGAGGTCAGATAGAAGACTGAAGGGGAGGACGGAGTTCAGATATAAACCATCAATAGAGGTGTCCCCATTGGAAGATTCACCTCGACCAACAGAGGGAATAAAATCTCCCCAGCGGGTGAAAAGAAAGCTATAAAACCCTGACCGGGGTTCTCACCCTTCCGACACACGACAGCCATATAAAATAAAGTTTTAGAGAAACACAAGGACAGGGGGTGGGCAGCATGCCTTTGCCTCTGGGGGTCTTGCAATGCCTCATGGGACTTGTAGTTCCACAGTAGTTGGAGGGCTGGAGTTGCTCTGGGGTAACGTAAAGCCACGAGTTACTTGGAAGCATTTTTTTCCTCATTCAGGAGATGAATTGGACGCAGAAACGTTCTGATCGGTCTCCGTATTCAGAGCGGCTGGTTCACAACCTATAAACACCGAGTATAACCGCTTACAGCAAAGCGAGAGTTAAAAAAAAACCTGGAGGTCGGACCATAAAACCGCCAGCACGCGCCCCTCACCCGACCGCTTCAAGTCACTTTCCACCAAAATAATCCGGCACCTTGAAAAGATATTTGCAGCGCGAGGCGAGCGGGAAGACGGACCACGAGCCCAATTACATAAAAAGAGAGCTCGCCTTTAAAACCCATTTTATGACCCAATTTCATGACAGGATGTCGAGTTTCACCCCTCAGCGAGCGGAGACGAGTGCGTATCCATTTACCGTGCAAACCGGCGCCAACATCTTATTAAGGTTTAGAAGAAAAAAAGTGTTATTTCATTTCGTACGACAGACAAGTTTTGCAGCTGCTGGAAAATGAACCAGACAGACATATCCAGGAGGAGCGCTCTGGGAAGCGAGGGGTTAACCTTTCTATACCGATATGGTTTAAAAGGGGGGGGGCCAGTCCACCCAGATCTGAGATTTCAGTAGATTTTGGAGCAGAAGATACAGAGGAGGGCCGAATAACCCAAAACTCCCACATGGGCAGGAACAGTGTCAGGAATTCTGGTCAAGGAGATCTCGCTGTTGGCATATTGAAGATCTAGAGAGCCATGGGCGGGCTCCACACTTTAGGCTCCACCTATAATATCGCTTCCAAAAATGGCATCCGAGACGGATGCTCACTGTCCTAACTTTATGGCCAAATGTATGTAGACGTTCCTTCAAAAGACTGAGTTCAGGTGCTTCCAGTTGTGGGACCATTAATGGCAGACTCTACAAAGACAATTGGGCTCTTCCGCCCTTGTGGTCACAGTTTGGTGAAGACCCTTTTCTGTTCCACCCATGACCGTCCCCTGTGTACAAAGCCAACTCCATAAAGACACGGTGTGACCAGCTTGGGGTGGAGGAACGCCAGTGTCCTATATAGAGTTTTGACCTCAAACCAACTGAACACCTTTGAGACAAATTGGAATGCTGGTTGTGAACCAGATCTTCTCATCCAACATCACCACCTTCTGGCCGCAGACATTGTAGACTATTGTATACTTCCTACTTTGTGGCAACAGTTTGGCGAGGACACTTCTGTCCCACCATGAGTGTCCCCTGTGTATAAAGCCAGCTCCATAGAGACATGGCGTGACCAGCTTGGTGAAGACCCTTCTCTGTCCCACCATGACCGTCCCCTATGTACAAAGCCAGCCACATGAGGACATTTTTGACCAGCTTGGTGTGGAGGAACTGGAGTGTCCTGCAAGGAGCCCTGACCTCAACCCTACTGAACACCTTTGAGATGATTTGGAATACTGGATGTCATCCAGGTCTTCCCACCCAACTTCAGTACCCGACCTCCAGGATGGACACCAATTCCCACCGACACCCACCAAAATCTTGTAGAAAGCCTTCCCAGAAGAGTGGAGGCCGATATAGCTACAAAAGGGGGCAACACCTTATAATGGCCATGGCTTTGGAATGGGATGTCCATAAATCTCATAGGTGTGATGGTCAGGTGTCCACAAAAGTATTGTGTAAGGTCAAGAACAAAACGTGTGTTGGGAAGGCAAAAAAAAAAAAAAAAGATATCATGGGACATAATTCATGTCACGAGGATAAATTCTGATCACCACAAACGGTCCTGAAGGAGTTAATACTTGGAAGGCCTCGTCCGGCGGGGTCCCTGAGAGACGCAGAGCGAGCGCACATTATGGAGAATTCATTCATTAATCTGCCGACAAAATAAACATTTACGTTATGGAATTTCCTGTCTAGCCAACCTAATGTGTTTGGAGTTCTCGAAAGGTTTTTGTTCGAACGTCAACACGGGGCGGCTTTAATCTCGCAGAGAAAACAATTAGCGCATTATTAATCGGCGAAACGCCATCTAATCTGATCGTCACCACAAATTTCAACATTTTCCGGCCACAAAAAATGGCCGGAAAGGGGCGACGGGGGGGACATGAAATATGATATTACGTGGAGCGCGGCCAAGGGCCGGAGCTGGTACAATGGGATTGAAGAAAAACACCCAATGAGCGGCGGAGCGTGCCAGCAAAGTCTGAGCGTAGCTGGCTCGGGGCGCTCGCGGCATACGCTGCGGTTCAGGATATCATGTAGATGATACGTTTGCCATCTGGGTTTCCATCCACCAATGTGTAAATCTGATTTAACTCCGACAAGGCTGCCGAAATGTTTCTCGTCTGTCACATCAGCAAAATGAATAGCAGACCTGCAGAGCATTGCGTAAACACGGCTCCGTACAAAGTGGAAACAAGGAAAGAATGGCGCATTTAGCTAATAACGCTTATTTTCACAAACACTGTTGACAGCGCGCCCAATGTCCTCTGCATGAAAACCTCAAGATTTCCACCAGAAGGGATGGGTGGGACCCACAGCTCTCCTTTAAAGTCAACAATTTGGTGATATGCATTGGGAGTCAATGGGGGGAGGTGAAATGGACCATAAATGACCCCTCAGGGTGAAGAAAAAACTCTTTCCAACTACCCGGCGCCGGTTCTCGTACCTAAAAATGCCAATTAACAAAGTCATGTGATCCCCATGCTATTGCTGTAATGGTGATCACATGACTGCTGATAAACCAAGACTCTCAACAAAGTCACTTCACAGAGTCAGGTTGTCAAAAGATAAAGCTCCGCATAACGCATGCCTAGGACTATGCACCTGAACTCCACCCCTACAACATGTCTACATAGACCTTATTCTAAATGTCTCGAGTGCCATGGGAGCTCACCAAACCTGTAGACTTCCTAATTTAGGATAGCCAGGCATGGGCCTCCCTTTGGGGGTGGGGCCCGGTCAGCCCGGCTGGGGCCTCCCCTGGGGGGTGGGGCCCAGTCAGCCCGGCTGGGGCCTCCCCTGGGGGGTGGGGCCCGGTCAGCCCGGCTGGGGCCTCCCCTGGGGGCTGGGGCCCGGTCAGCCCGGCTGGGGCCAGTAGCATTCAGGCCTTCCTATAGATCAGCAAAAGCACATACTCCATGTCATAGTATCAAACATACTCCCCAATATAATGTTCTGGCCACAGACCTACCTCACCCTCCAATCTGATCAGAAGACAACATATGGAATTGTTTTTTGGGGTGTGTGTGAAAGGAATCCAGGCACAAATAAGGAGAATATACATACCCCATGCAGACAGGGTCCCTGGCAGGAATATACATACCCCATGCAGACAGGGTCCCTGGCAGGAATATACATACCCCATGCAGACAGGGTCCCTGGCAGGAATATACATACCCCATACAGACAGGGTCCCTGGCAGGAAGTTAGCTGAGAACTCCCATGCTGCAGGATAACACTAACCAGCCATGAAATACCACGCTGGTCATCCTCCCATCACGTCGCCTCTACTCAGTATTTATATGAAGGTAGAACACAAACATTTTTCTACAGTACAGGTGACAGATAAATGGATTTGAAGGATATGGAAGGTAAACACTTCACATGCAAAAACTACAATACATAACTATGGGAACTATATCAAAGGAAACTACAAATCCCATGATGCATCTGCCTCTGGAAGTCCTGCCAGTGGCTGAGACTCTTGCAATGCCTCATGGGACTTGTAGTTCCACAACAGAGGGGGGTGTCGGAGTTTGCCCTCCCCCCGGTCTAGTAAGATTAAAGGTGTGCTAAAATGATATATTATCTTATTGCCTGAGAGGCAGCTTTGGCATGCTTTACGTGCACTTTAAGATGCCTTTCTATGTAATACTAATGTGCGGATCGGGGGCCAAGGACTCAGTACAGGTCTGAGATATACGTCCTGCTCACCCTGTCTCTTCAGATCCTCTATCTGCTCCTCTTTCAGGTCCAGCTGCTCGGTAAGTCGGGACGCAGACTCCAGTGCATCGTTGGCATCGTCCAATTGTTCCTGGGAAGGAAAAGGAACATTTGGAATGTTTGTCCTCAAATCTGGTCTGCAGCGTACAAGGACAGGACAGAGAGAAGACCCTCCAGGTACGGACTTTGGCACTGCTCGTACATATAGCGTCTCTTCTATGCTTTGCTTGGCCCCGCCCCCTGTATGAACATGCTAATGACATTCCTAATGATACAACTCTCCATTACATATCTCATTATAGAACCAGAGACATCATTTGGTCTCTGTGCTCCTCTAGGCAATGCAGGCAGATCATGGCTGGTGGGAGGGGCCGGCAGGGTGCTGTACATAGCCGCCTTCCTCAAGAGTCCACAGCCCTGATGCAAGGGGGCCTCCTACCTGCAGAGAGGCGACTTTATCTCCCATCTTTTCCACCTTCTGTCGTAGCTCTGCGTTCTGTTTGCGGTGTTTGTCCAGCTCTGCGGAGTACATGGCCTTCTCCTCTGGAGACGAACGATAAAACATTCACAATATTAGACAATATAAGACATTAGACATGGGCCTCAGCATAGACATGGGCCTCAGCATAGACATGGGCCTCAGCATAGACATGGGCCTCAGCATAGACATGGGCCTCAGCATAGACATGGGCCTCAGCAAGAAGAGTGATCAGACGGCTCCCTGTAAGAGAGGCAAATACACACTGCGGAAGGTGGCAAGTAAATCTTCGTGGACTTTGTAGTACAATGCAGCAACGTAGCGCTAATCCTCAGGAGTGGGAAGTGTATAACCCGAACTAAACACACAGTCACACAGGTACCGCCGATCCGCCAGCTGGCATACCGCCTCACAGGTACTGCCGATCCGCCAGCTGGCATACCGCCTCACAGTTACACAGGTACTGCCGATCCACCAGCTGGTATACCGCCTCACAGTCGGAACACACAGGGCTGAGTGAGGCGGCATGCCAGCTAGGGGATTGGTATTGTGATCGATTCCGAACCACATGTAATCATATAACATACATGCGGTGTGCCGGTGTTTACATGCAGCGGCTGTCACCTGATCATTAACTTGAATGGATGACAGCTGCTGCATGTAAACATCAGATTAGGGATTCCTGCTACAGAAAAGCGCAAATTCCTGATGCAGGAATCTCCAATTGCACCTAAACCTACAGGTGTGAATGGGGCCTCAGTGTGTGTGTGTGGTGTGAGAATCTGTTAAAATAAAACTTGTGGGGAAAAAACAAAACAAAAACACGCACATATACTGACACTGCACACACATACATACCGTGTTTCCCCGAAAGTAAGACCTAGCACTATTTTTAAACATTCCTGTAATAAAAGACCTACCCCGAAAATAAGACCTAGTTTGGGGTTGACCCAGAGAGCAACCAGAGTACATGGCGGGGACTAACCGCTGCGCAGCAGCTCCCACATGCCGCCCGACACAAGATCAGCAGACACCCGTCTGCCTCAGCCTTTGCTTAGAGAGCTGCCGCCGGGCAGAAAACTACATTTCCCAGCAGGCAGCGGCACAGCAAGGAACGTATGGCCAGTGGGGTCGGAGTGAGGTGACTGAGCCTCGGTCACTGAGGGAACTTCTGACTGGAGGTCCGGCCAGTCCACCCTGGCGGGGATCCCACAGAGAACTGTGGACGGCATCAGAGAGGAGAGCTCCAGGACAGCTGCAGCCTGCAGGTATTGCGACGCTGTGTGTGACAGTATTTAAAATAAGACATCCCCCGAAAATAAGACCTAGTGTGATTTTTTTTTGGGGGGGGGGGGGATATAAGACAGTGTCTTATTTTCGGGGAAACACGGTACAATACACACACACATATACCGGTAATATAAACATATAGTGACATTAAAACCGGTATGGTATATTGTTCCATTTTGAAGTATGGCAAGCGGCTCCCATGGGAGAAGAAAATTTGTGCTGTGGCCCCCCAAGTGAATTGAGTTTGTGGCCCCTGAAGGAATGATTAGCTGCGATACATGTTTTGGCCTTACCTTGCTGGAACTGCTCTAGCACCATCTGCAGGTTGCTCAGTGATAGTGCATATTGTTTGACCTGCTCCTGGGACATGTTGAATTGCAGTAAAGCCTCGTCTCTCTGCCGGGACACAAGATTCAGCTGCTCTTGTAGAGACTCCACCTGCATGGTAGCCTGGTGACTAAACAAAAAGATGGCAAGTTAGAGGATCACCGATTCCATGAATCCATCGCCCAAACAAGAGACGGGCACAGGTACCTGGCTGTCTCCACCGCTGTGAAGGAAGAGGAAAGCTTTTCTTCTAACGTGGCGACTTTCTTCCGGAGCTCCGCCTGCCGGTCCTCAGCAGCAACGGCCTCGCGTGTGTACGAGTCCTCCATTTCCAGCAGGTGATTGCGCAGCCGCTCCAGTTCTTGGTTGAGGCGCTGTGCTTTGTCTCTTAGATGCTGGACCTGAGGGAGATCACACAGGGGTTAAAGCTTCCAAAAGGAATACAATAATAAAAAAAAAATAATGCAAAAAACAACGATGGCGGATGCAACTCCAAGGAACACTAAAAAGTAACAAAATGCTTTATTAAAAAGGAGAACTATGGGGTCAGGGCTTTTCCCCATAGTTCTCCTTAGGGTAACAGGAGGACACAAACTAGTGTCCTCCTGTTACCCTAAGCTCAGTATATAGGGAGCTACAGCTCGCGGTATACTGAGACGCCGCAGCGGATCCCGATATCGAGATCCGCCCAGCTGCGTGACAGCTGGCTCTGCCTATCTAGAGGCAGAGCCAGCTGTACCCGCCCCCTCCCCCGTCCGTTCCGCCAGTCAGCGCTGGCGGATCGGAGCGGGGAGGGGGGAATCCAGCCCCTCCCCTGTCACGGCAGAGAGCCGTGACAGGATCGAGAGGTGAGCGAACGCCGGTATGTGTTCGCTCACCTCCCGATCTACTGAGCCGACCTGTGACAGTCTCATTGTCACAGGTCGGCTAGAACTATGAGGATGAGTGAAAAGCACTCCCCCCCCTCATAGTTCTCCTTTAAATGAAAAAGAAAGAATGGACATTCGGTGATGATTTGGAATCTACTAGGAATCCTGAATAATAGCTTTAGAAGGAGATTTGGAATTGGTTTTACCCGGCCAGAAAGCTGGATAGAAAAATAAATCTGCACCGTGCCATACATTTTATAGGTATTGAGTCTAGCTGTCAACTCAACTTTCCCAACATCAAAAGTAGCATTATTATCACAGCGAATGGTCAGCGACACACAAATGTTTGCAATTTGATTAAATACTGGCTTGAAAAGCGATTGAAAACGCACTGAACTCACAATATAGACCGAGCACAGAAACCAAATCAGCACCAGAACTGAGAAGGGAGTTACAGAGGCCAGTGGGGAACACTTGCCAGG